TGCACTAGGTAAGTCATGAACGAAGGAAAACTAACGATGGCCCAAAAATGGCTCTTATGCGCCCCCATTCTTTGTGTTTTTTTGGTTTTTTCAGCATATTTTGTGATTTTTTTCGAATTTTTTATATATAAGATGTGGTTTTTCAGTTCTCAAAGCGTACTCAATGGATAGAGGGCATTTAAATCTATATACTAATCACAAAAAATGAAAAATGTGAAAATTTTGAGGCGGGAAAGGGGAGGGGGGTCCCTTAATTTGTTGAATAAGATTTATTTAAAGTCAGAATTGTAAAAAGACATTCTCACTTGTAATTCATCTTATGAGAATTGATGTAGGTTTAATTTTTCTAAGTATTAAACATTTTTCTCTTATACTCCATCGATATCTACTTGGATCAAATTTTTGTTTTTCTTTTGTTCTCGAAAGACGCAATTAAATTGTATTTTCAATAGATCGGAAAAAGAGACGACACTGATAAAAAGAAACTCTGTGGAAATCAATCCTTTGTTCGGAGTGGGTGTTAGGTAAGGGTGTGGGTAGATGTGACTAGAATATATATCCATACCTACACCCACACCCTCATGTAACAACAAAGGGAATAAAAACTTTCTGTTCTGATTGTAACAAATTTTTTTCTCTTGATTGTTTTAATGCGAAGCATCACGCTGCGTAATAAATGATTTCAAAAATAGCGAAGGCAGAAGAGATCACACATTACGTGTAACCTTCCGCCTAAGAATAAAAGAAAGGAGAGTGTTGTTCTATTAAGTTTCTTGTTAAAATATAGTGGAGTCGATTAGTGGACCCCATCACCTCGAATAGGTTAAGGATGTGGATGTGTTGAAACGGCCACGATGCGTTACGACTGGTGTTTGATCAGTCATTCAATAGGTGGTTTTGAAGACATACTGCATGTAGATCGCCATATAAAGTAGATAAGTTCGTAAGGAACGTTCAGCATTGAGAAATGAAGATCAACAATAAGCGGTGAATGCTCATGACTAGACATGAGTATCATTGAAGTCTAAATCACCACGGGGTCTGGATGTGGGTGTATCAGGCAAACTATGATGCGTTTCGACTTGCTTAAGGGTCTCATCAGGTAGTTATAACTGTATAACTATTCTAATGATTCAAAGATCATAAAGAAGTTACTGAGTGTATTCACATTCAAGGAATAGCTGCAAAGAATTTTCGAAAGATTAGATAGCTCTATAGCAGATATGTATGTCTAATGGACTGTTATCTCGGATTCGTCATTGCTAAAAGAGTCATTAGATGGCTTTGACAATATATTTGTTCAAGATGGATTTTCATGGCTGAGGAAAGAAGTAATATCAATATGAATGTCTAGAGTTGTTAGGACTTTATGTAAGTTGGAAGGATAATGTCCTCATGTCGCAAAAGTTTTATTTCTTCTAGGTTTCTTTCATTCATTAGAAACAAAAAAAAAGGTTTATCATGTACATTTTACTGCTGAACACATGTAGTCGTATTTATCGTTAGAGGTGCCTATGTTTTATTAGAATATTGGCATTGTTATTTGTTTTTGTTAATGGCCGTTGTTTGTAGATGGAGAGAAATAACGACTAAACTATTTATTAACTACATACTAAATTATCAAAGTGAAAATTGTAAAATTTAATAAATAAATATTCATTCAATGTATTCATGTACAATCTCAACATAAAAAATTATCTGATTTAATGACTCGATATTATTTTCGATATAAATGATTAACCATTCATCATGCTTCTCAATATTTACATTTTAAAAATTTGCTTAAAATATATCCAAATACTATCGAAGATCAAAATCTTACAGAAGATATTTGTTTTATATAATTTGCTATACAACTTTTGTTTAAGATATGAGTTAGTTTTCCTTACATTCTCATCCTGAAGGAATTTATTTCTGTAAGAATATAGGTAATGGATAACTGCGGGTGTTGTTAAGAATGAGCTGGACATTACAATGTAGTTGTTAAGTGTTACTAGCCATTAGTATGGCTGCAATTGAATTGATAGTGTTCGGGAAATATGCTATTTTTTAGAACTCTTACAAAGTGGGTATTTAGTGGAGGTTAATTAACATAATATATGATGCAAAAATATCAAAGTCTGTTAAACTATATTGCTGACTTCTAAATTAAGAAAGCTTTTGTTTAATTAGAAAGATCAATGTCTAAACTACAAATTTTGTATTAGACATATGTTTTAAGAACCTGACGAAGAAGAAAAGTCTAAAATCAAACATCTTCAGAAAACATCTTGCAACTTCGCTATTGAGTAAGAGCTTTTTTTGTATTCTCTGTTATATTTTTTTTTGTGTACGAGAAGAGAAATGAAAAAACACATTTAATCCTGATTTTTGTAAAGTAAAATGTGCTCTTCTTAATGGTGCAATTGGAAGTTAAATTTACTCTTGATTTTTGTACCAAAATATATCATTTTCTAGAAAAAGATTGAATAAAATGGTTGTTCTTACTATCTGACCATTTTTCAACAATAAAAAAAAAAATGTTTTTTGAATTATTTTCTTCGTTAAAATTTCTATGATCTGAAATATTTTGAATAAATAACGGAAAAAGAACTTATCTCATACATAATTTCTGAAGATAATGACTCCTGTTCTTGCAAATTGATATTTCTTGGAAAAGATTATATTTAAAAAAAAAATTCATTTTTCAAAATTTTTCCATTAAAGAGTTAAAGACAGATCTAAAAAAATGTTGTCAAATCCAATATCAATAGAATTTTTAATGCAGTATATTTCGATATTTTTTTTTTATTCCAATTTAATCCATCCATGTAGATCAATATAATTCAGAAATACAGACTATTCAAGTTGGAAAAAATGTTGCACGAACTTATATCTCTAGTACAAAATGTGTAATTTAGATATTGTTCTTTCTAACAAGAAAAAAGTTTTCTTGACTTAAAAGTCAGCAATATGGAATAACAGATTTTTTACATTGGATATTAATGCATTAACATCTAAATATTTGCACTGTTAGTATACGTTGCTACTACGAAATTGTTAAAAAATGATCTAAATAATTTAAATTTTCTCGAGTAAATGTACCGAATCTTTTTATACTTGTGCTTTATACAAATGTTAATTTGAAAAGAAAATTTTTTTTTTGATTTGTTTTTTTTTCTATAAAATTTTAATCTTATTCCGTTTAATAGTTTTTTTTTTTTTTTTATAAAGAAGACAAAGAAATCTTATTACTTTCCGATTCTACATGTCGGGAAAAGAACAATTGTGTTTAGTTAAGTTGATTTCCTATTTTATTGTATGAACTATAATGATTAACTTCGATCGGTGAAAGCGGAAGAAGTCAACAATCAAAATGTATTTATTGTTCAATATTTTTATTTCTCGGCAAGAAAGAGAAGAATTTCTAACAAGAGAATGAGAATAAGCATAAAAAAAGAAAGAGAAAATAAAATAAAAATCATTGATTAAAGTCAATTGAACATTGATAAGATTGAATTTCACCATTACACAATAAATCGTTCGGTGTAAGAGTTTTTTTTTACATTTATCACAGACTATATAAAAACAGAAAGTAATTTTTATTATAGGAAAAATAACTTGTTGATCAATGTCATTATTATCATTAGTATTTATTTGGTTAGATAAATGTATTGGAAATTTACCTGGTGAAAATGAAAAATTAAAAGAAAAATTTCGAAAACTTCTTTCACCAATTCGACAATTTGATAAACCATCATCTTGTTTGGATTCTATTGAATTATCATTGAAAAATAAATGTATTTTTTTTATAACATCAAATAGTTTTGTTGATGAAGAATTTCTTAAAAAAATAGCTTCATTATCAAATGTTTATCGTATTTATATTTATAATCAAGAAGGAAATGATTATCAATTTACTGATACAAATCTTATTAAGAAAATAGGTTTAGAAAGAATTATACAATTTGATGAACAACTTTATAAACAAATAATCTTAGATTTAATTAAAATATATTCAAAGGAATCTAATCAATCAAGACAAGCTAAAGAATTACTTAAATCTGCTGTTAAATTACTCAATACTATCGATGATAAAGATGAAGATTTACAAGACATAGAAAAATATTTAATTTCTCGAATACATAATCTTAAATAAATCATTTTTTTTTTCTTGAATAAACGACATGATCTCTTCTTTATTAAAGAGAACGGTTATTTATTTGAAGACACAAAAAAAAAAAAGAAGACAGAATCTAATACAGAACAAATAAATTTACAGAAAACAAAAAGAAAAAACAAAACTCAAACAGCGACAAGTTCATCTGTTGTTTTAAGTCTTTTAACTGAATCACAATTATTATTGTCTTTTTCATTTTGTTGAGTTGAATTCGTTGTTGCTGTTGTTATTGTTGATGTTGTTGTTGTTATTGTTGGTTGACTTACTAATTTAGCTGCTGATACTATTTTATTAATTATTGGTAATTGAACTGTTGAACCAGATAATGTTAATATTTGAGCCTATTGAAAATTTAAAATAAAAAAAAAAAGTTTTCTTTTAATTTTTCTTAAATATATTTACCGGTGAAAGTGTATCTTTTTTAACAACTAATGAGATTTTTGGTTGAATATTTCGACGTTCAATTGAAATAGTTGATGCTAATCCATTAGATGGATTAACTCCATCATAAATTGATAATTTATTTTGAAGAGTTAACTTTAATAAAAAAAAAAACAAATAAATAAATTCTTAAAAATCAAATAAATTTACTTCAGCCATAACAGCAATAGGAGTTTTTTGTGTATGTAATGCAATTTTATGTTCAATTAAATAAAATAAATATTCATCATAAAGAAGACGAATTAAATGAAATGAACCAAATGATGCTGCACTACGTAATGTTAAATCTCGAATAACCATTGAACAATAAAAAGACCAATTTAAAAGAATTTGTTTTGCTTGTTTTGTATATTTTTCAGCTGATAAATTTGAATATGGTTTAAGTAAATCATTTAATAATGAATCAAGCCATTGTGACCAATCTTCTAATGTTGATTGAGATGATAAATGATTTTTAAATTCTCTTTCAATACGTGAAACTAAATTATCATCACATTCACATACCCACCATGCTTGTTCCTAAATAAATTATTTTTATTTTATTAAAAAAACAAAAAAAATTAAAATAAATAAACTAACTTGAACATTATGAAAATCAACTTTATTTAAATCAGCTAACATTTGATTAACTTGTGTTGAATTAAGAAGAACAGCTCGTGCTGCTTGAGCTAAATGATTTAATGATGTATAACGTCTTAATGTCATTGCAAATGCATTTATTATTGTTAATTTTATTGTTTTTAATCGTTCAGGTAAATGACCTAATGCTGTACGAAGCCAACCATCCACACTTTTACCAAATGTTCGAATTGATTGTGTTGCACTTGCTAGAAAAACAAAATACTTTAATCTTATTATTGATTAAACAACATTTATTTTTGCGAATATCATCAAATTAGCAAAAAACCTAATGAGTAATATAGATTTGCATGACTTGTTTAAATAACAAAAAAACATTCTTGTTTTCCATCAACCATAAATCCCAAGATCATACGTTGATTTAATTCAAATATTGAACCTCTTACCCAACGAATAACGATCCGACTATGATATTGCTGTTCTTATTCAAAGTATAGACTTCTGGTTTTCGGCAAAATGTAGCTAAGTACTGATGCTCTCTGTATTAGAAATTTCAGCCCTATAGAGCGTGTCTTGATGATATGCGGCTAAAAATAGTGAAATTATATAGTGTTTGATTTAGGTCAAAATTTTTCATACAGCTGTGATGTGAAGCAAAATGATTGCAACATCGAGTATTCTGCAAATATCCTATAATCTTAAATGCATTTTTTTTAAAAGATGCACCGTGAAACTCTCTACAAGATTGACTATGAAAACATCCCATTGAGTTCTTGTAATAATTTTCTTTTAAAACTAAAAGTAAAGTACTGCAAAATAGTAAAATGTCTCATTATTCAGAAAGAAAAATAAGACAATTCACTATTTTGTAACGTTTCATTTTTAACTTTAAAAGAAAATTATTACAAGAAGTCGATGCCATGAATAAGAACAGCAATATCATAATCGGATCGTTATTTGTTGAGTGTATGAATAATTTTGACTGCCACTGTATACTTACATTATCTTAGTTTCAAAAATTTATATTCATTTCCGTTGTAAACCCGTTCTCAAGAGATGAATAATTTGTCAAGCTCGATGAATGTAACAAGATATTTTAGAAATAAATTTTCTCTCGACCTTGATTCTAATCATTCATTAGAAATAAACACTATGTCGGTCTACTATCAATCAATATGAAAAAATGATCGACCGATATTATCCGTTTCGGTAGATGTTTTAGTATAATAACCAAAAAGAAAACACCTAGTCGATTATTTCAACAAATTTCTTTTTTCAGTTTCTCGTATCAAATACACAATGTATAAACAATTCTCGAAGGCTTTGTTTTTTTTTCAAATTCTATTCTCATATCAATGATATTCAAATAAGATAATATAATATGAAAATCTAAATGAATGACTAACTTGGCATAGGTGATAAAATATCCGCAATTAATCGATCAACTAATTGTTGATATAATTGATAATCTGAATTTCTAATAAATTCTTGAACATTATATAATGAACACATTGAATGAAATAATGCCATTGGAATTGTTTCTTCTCTTCCTGTTTGTGACCAAAAATTAAACCAAATTTGTTCAACTGAACCAAAATCCAATGTTGTTATAACATCAAATAATTTCTTTGAATATAAATATTTTTAAATTAGAAAAAAAAAAAATTTTTTTTTGTTCAACTTACAAGACAATGATCTTTATAAATATTTTCAAAACGTTTAATATCATCTTGTGTAATACCATCAGGTAATTGAATATTTGAATCAATTTGAATATTTTCATTTATAATAAATGAATTATTTTCATGTAAAAATTGTTTTGTATCTGTTTGTGATATTGTTGATTCTGATTGTGATGAATATGATTGATCATTTATATTTGGTTTATTTTCAGGTGATGAACCATCATTTGATGTTGACCAACGACGATTTTTAAAATTAGCAAATGCATTATTACCACGAAATGTTAAACCACCATGTTCATCAGAAAAAGCATTTAATGATGAATTTTGTTTAACACGTATACCATAATAATGATATTTAGAATTTCCTCGTGTACCTAAACGACGAGTACGAAGACCAAGAAAAACAGATCGAATTAATTTTCCAAATGATGCTGGATTAACAGCTTCTAATTTTTGTTCGGAACAATGTTGTAAATAAAATGAATATAATGTTGAACGACGAAGTGAACAACCTTCAGCTGGTTCAAAATTATCAACTAACCATTGAACCTATAAAAAACATTTAAAATTTTAACATTGAATATAATATTGACTGTTGTTAGATGATTCAAAACTAATATCCAGATATTTTACTTATTCGTAAGATCTACTGAAAGTTGGAAAATGCATACATAAGTGCAAGATGTACGATTTCCTTTCGTCATCACATTCCTTCCGGAAAAGATGTGGACCCCGAAGCCATATCCTGTTCGGCTTTTTCTAATATCATTAAGTTCTACTAATGAACAAAAAAAAAACTTAAAGTCTCTTGTAATGATTCCCTCATTAGCTAACAATTTTATTTGACTCACGAGAGAATCGTTCGCAGTGATACATTGCTTTTGGTTTTATATTTTGCCTATTAATATAGATTAGAAAAAGCCTAAGATATGGACCCATGTTGCGATATTCAAGGTTTACTCAAATTCCTGTGGAGGACTTAGGTTTTTCAGCAAAATCATATTTTTGAATCTTGACCTGAAACTTTGCCCATATAAAGTCGTCAATTAGACTAGCTTGCAAAAAAATTAATTTCAGAATTTTTGGATATAGTACCACTGAACTATTAATTTTTCAAAATATAGGGCACTTTTTCATAGATATTGTATAATACATGAGGATTTTGAAAAATTCATATTTTGGTGATATGATGTCCAAAAATTCTGAATTTTTTTTGCGCAAGCTAATCTAATTGAGGATTTTATGTTGGCAAAGTTTCAGGTTAAGATTGGAAAATCTGAGTCCTACAGGAGAATTTGAGTAAAACTTGAATATCTCAGCCACATTGCAATATGGGCCCGTATTTTCTTAAGTTTTTTCTAATCTATATTAATAGGCAAAATATGGGACCAAAAGCAATGGATCACTTCGAATGTTTTCCTCGTTACTAGGATATTTTTCCAAGCTATGTGAAATAAAGTTTTGTTATGCGTTGAAAATTTCTTATGAATAATTGAAATTAAAAATGATAACTAGATTTATTTGAATTTTATTGAAAGTTTATATTTAACATAAAAATTTTTATTCTAACATGTTTGTTCATTAGAACTTGTCGGATAAGTATTTTTAATACTCATAGTAAAATATTTTTATTTATCAACGATAGGAAATGGATAGATTTTCAATGACTTAGATTTAATGATTACTATATATCGTACAGTGTTTATATTATCGTGACCAGAGTAAGTCTGATCACAATGCGGAATAACTTCAATGGGCCCTTTAAGAAACTTCTATTGGTCACACAAACGATAATTGACCTCGTTGACCGTTAAGTAAGATTCATAGAAGGGAAATATCCGATGAATTAAACAATTACAGTATACTAACTAATTAAATTTTTATGTATGAAAAACATAATGTTGTCAAAAGTTGTTTCGCTTTCGAATCAAAAACTTATTTCTAATTAATTAGTTATTTGAAATTCTTTTTTTTTTTTATCAAAAAGCAAATTTTTCAAATATAATTTAATATTCTTACTGTTGCCGGTGATGCTCGTGTTGTATGTGTTAATGGTTGTGAACCACTTTCTAATGATGGAACAAAATATCCACCAGTACATGATAATATATGATGAGAAAAACTATCCGATGATGCATTCTAATAAATAAATATAATTAATTAAGTCTTATTTAAAATTTTCTAAATTTTTTTTTTTTTTTTTTTTATTACTGTTGACTGTGGTTGAAAAAATGAATTAGTTCCTGTATAAAGTGTTCCATCACTTGAATTAAATTGAAATTGACTTAAAAAGAAGAAAAGAAAAAAAAAACAAAATTATATCATTATGAAATCAAACAGACAAATAATTAAATACATACACTGGACCAGAAATATTATTTGAATTTTGATTTATTTGTGAATTTTGATTTGGTGGATGTGCTTTTGCAATAATAACTCTTCCTGTTGTTTGGTTTCCACTGGTTTCGCCACCTGTTTGATTTGTTGTTGCCACTAGATATTGTCCTTGTTGACCATTTAAACGTGATTCATTCTTGGAAAATCAAATAGAAAAATTTAATAAAAAAACAAAACAAAACAAAAAAAATTAATATTTACTCGTATCGGAAGTGTTGTTGACGAAGACATTGTTTAAACTTAAAAGATAAAAATAATCGAATATCCATATACAATAGATAATTCATTCTTTTGTTTTTCTTTTTTTTTTTTTTAGAAGAACGTCAAAAATATAAAACTTTGTTTTCTTTTAAGAAAGTTTCGTTATGGTAACCCGTTTTTTTTCTTTATTTTTTACTGACCTGACGACGGTTACTTGACAAGAATACGAAAGATCTCGATGACTACCGTTACTTTAGTCAATGCAATAAGAGAAAAAGAATGACACCAAGCAACGGTCGTCCAAGCATTCTGTTACCTAGGGGTCATATTCTTATCGACGACAAACATATATCTCTATGGTGCATACATTTATTTTATTTATGCATTTACTATATTTTATCATAGATGTCGTTAGTTTATTAATTTAAAAAAGAAAAAAAAAAACTTATAGAAATACATTTCGAAGACAATCATTTATAAGAAGATCATTTGGATCAAATTGTTTACGTTTTTCATGAAATAAATTCCAATTTGAATATAATTGAGATAAATGTTCCTTATTTAATGGATGTTCTTTTGCCCAATGTGGTCTTCCATTATGTTTATAACATATAGATTCAAATGCATCAAAAAAAGATCGATGTTCAAAATGTGTTTTTCCAAAAGGGCGATAAGCAACAGTATTTATCCAACATGTTTGACGTTTATAACCAGGAGATAAATATGATAAATCTTCTTTACTAAAACGTATTTCAATTGGAAAATGAACATTTGAATTTTCTTCCATAAATTTTTCTAATTGAATAAGACACGATACAGCTTGATCTAATGGTATTGCCCATTCACTTGCATATTGATAAAATAAACAATCAAAATTAAATAATTTATCACAACGATCAATTTTATGATTTGATATTCCATCTAATTTAACATAAATATTATTTATATATCGGACTAAACGAGGAAGAAATAATGAAAAATAAAATAATACTTCCAATAGATGATGACCTTTATAAAAAAAAAAAATAGACAAGAAAGAAAAAAAATGAATAAAATATAAGTTTTTAAAAAAAAAAAAAACAATACCAATTAATGAATATCGAATCCAAGAAAAAATTCTTGATAAAAATGATTTTTTATTATTAATTAATCTTGATTGAACACGTGTTAAATGATAAGCAATACCAAAATTTGTATGTGGATACCACATATAACGAAAATGATCTGATGATGAATAATGAACAGGTAATGTATTTAAAAATTTATGAAATTCTAAAGCATGTTGATTTAATTCCAAATAATAAAGTGATGATACTTGTAAACGAACACTTAGAATTATTCCAAATGTACCTAAACAACATGTTAAACAATGAAATAAATCTTCATCATCTTCTAAACGATATTCTTTTATTTCTCCATTTAATTTCATTAAAGTTATTGATCGTACATATGATGATAATGTTCCATATTTAATTCCTATATTTCATAACAAAAAAATAAAAATAAAAATTATTTTATTAAATAATTAATTCAGAAAAAAAAAAGAAATAAACCTGATCCATGAGTAGCTGTAGAAATAACACCAGCTATTGTCAAATTACTAATGGAACCTTGTACAGGTAATGAAAGATTATGTTGTGGGAGAATTTCATTAAGTGTACTTAAAAGTACTCCACTTTCACAATGAATTTCAAAATTTTTTTCATCGATTTCAATAATTCTATTGAAATGTTTCATCGATATTAAAACTTCATTTGACATAGCAAGTCCTGATGGAGAATGTGCACAACCAATAACACGAACTTTTGATTTTGTTTTATTTATTTCATTTAATAAGGTTCGAAGAGAATCAATCGATGTTGGTTCAGCATATAAAGCTGGACGACAATGGAATGTTTTAGCCCAATTCCAAAATTCAGTCATTTTTGTGTTGTTTTTATTCGATTTCAATTTTCAATTTTAAAATAACGTATTAGTTGATATCAGTGAGTACCTAGACGAAATGTATATAAAGAATACGATAAAGCTGCATATCGTTTTTCTTATCTTAAATTTCATTTGACAAATAATAAATTGAAATGATAAATGAACCAATCCATTTTATTTTACGGATTAATTTTCTAAAAGTTCATTTCATAGAACAAAATTTCTTTAGTGATTTCATTCTCAAATTGATTGAATAAATTTAACAGATAAAAGCAAACAGATTTCTAGATGTCAGTAGACATTGTTAATTATTCAAGAAACAAAAAAAAAAAAAACGAAAACTTTATTATTTAACAAAAATCTTTATCTTTACATTTCACACAAATATTTATTGAAAGACGTTTTAATCGTTGATCTAAATCTTCAAGAGTTTTATTTAATTTTGATAAATCTTCTCGACTCTCTAATAATTTTGACCATACAGATGAATTTATTTCACAACCTAAAATTATGTAAAACAAAAAAAAACAAGAATATTGTTTTGTTCTTTTTTTTATTAATAAAAGAAAATCGAACTATTTGAAATTGATGAATAACAACTTTTTTTTGAATCATCATTTATTGATTTATCCTCTTTCTAAAAAAATATTTGAATAAATTAAATCGAAAGAAAATATTTAAACAAAAAAAAAAAAAGTCCAACCAAATATTCATGTGCAGGTATTGGAGGATATTTTTCAAGTAATTCAACTAAACATTTATTAAAACGATGTTGATATTTTCGACGACGATTTTTATGACGAACAGTAACATTTGATTTCAAATCTTCAGCTAAAAAAAATATTTTAGAAAAAAAAAAAAAAACAACTAATCATTTAATTCTACCATTATTATTGATATTAATTGGTAATGTTTGTGTTGATGCTTGTGTAACATTAATTCTATTAAGAATAATCGGTATTCGTATATGTGAATCAAATGAAAGATAACTTTTTTTATTCTTAATTCTATTTGAACTTAAACTACGAAGACGAGTACCAAGAATATTTAAAAAATTATCTTTCTTTCTTGACCATTCCATTATACAAATTAATTAAACGCGCTTTTTTTCTATTCAAATAGATCTTCATTTTAAATCACTTCGAATAAATTTGATCGTTCTATAATTAGATCTTGATCAAAGAGATGTCAACCAATTGGTTAAGCCATTGAGAATATTGAAATAGACAGTAGGTTTTCGACATTCAAGATCGATTTTCAAGAATGTTCTTACCTAGTATTTTTTATTTTAAAATTTCTTGGAATTAAGAAAGTCTTTTGAAAAAAACTTTCAGTCTACGCTGTCGATTCACTCATCAGCTTACACGTCTAATAATATATCGAGTAGCTTACGGCAGAACCCATACAACTGATAAACGTCTTTTGAACTTATATTTTGTCCATAGGTAGGACTCATAATGTAGATAAAAACCTTAAAAGAGTTTGTGCCATTAGACCTTTTCTTCTCGAGCTACGGTCTAATGGGCACAAACTATTTAAAGATTTTTATCTACATTATGAGCTCTACCTATGGGCAAAATATGAGTTTCCTCGTTACATGAAATTGTTAATTTTGTATATGCATATTTTCCTATAGAGTATTAACCAATTTACTTATATTTATTATTAAAGTATACGCTGGGAGAATTTCTAGAAGATTATAGAACAATATTTCATTTGAACTGTAAATATGGAAACTTGAACATGTTTGACGTTCGACAATATTTTTCTCAGAAAACTCCGATTGTGTTTTTTGTATTCTAGAATTTCTTTTATAGAAATAGATGTGTTCTTTCTCATGACATAAATTTAATTCCATTTCAATCGGATACAATTATTTGATAACTATATTATTACTTCAAACTGAATGAGAAACATGCTAAAATAGATTATTTTGCTCAGATTATTTGAAAATAACTATTCTTTACTGAATATGCTACCGTGAAATTTTTTTCTTGGCTGTAGGTGAAAAATAGAGTTTTGGAAGTAATGTCTCAAAAATAAATTGAATCTTTCTTTCTTTTTTTTTTGTAAGTAAAATTTTCGAAAATGAATCAAACATCATTCTATAACCTTTTAGAAATTTTCTCGATGCATATTTTGATAATAAATCATAAGAAAACTGATTGAGAGTGTATAAAGAAAATTTTAAAGCACAAATTTACCCAGTTCTCTTGGACTATCCGACAGTTGAACACATAGAAAAATCTATTTGCATAATCCTTGCAGAATTAAAATATGAAACATAATATTGTTGCTGTTGCTAATCATAGGAGATTGTTTTATTCATTCTATTTTGAAACACATTTCTTCACCATTCTTTTACAGTTAATCCTCCACGAATGCAATAAAGAATTAGATTCATTTATTATAACGAGATTTTATTAATATACAATCTGTGATTATATATATCATTGTCTAAATTTCTACCATTATACTTCAACACACCTTTTAGATAATATTTCACAAAAGTCATGAATCGCTGATAAACATAAAGTATATGACGAAATGTCAATAAGATAGACTATCATCTTCGTATTTATTTATATTTAGGAAATTGCGTTTGTTTGGTTATAAGGATAATATTGTTTTCTATGTTTTAATATATTCGATAGAGAACTAAGTGAAATACTATAATTTTCAAATAATTTAATTTCTTCATTTAATATAAGATATCATTTTGATCATAATCTTTGGATTAATACGTACAAAAGATATTTGTTCTTTTTTTTTTTTTTGAAGAATAACTTTTAACATAAAAACAACAGAAATCTGTGATTTTTTACTGCCGATAAAAAGAAATAAACATGCATCGAATGATGTATTACTGATTTTTATGAAAACAAAATTCTTAAAAAAAAAAAAAGAAAATGTATTGCGTAGGGTTGGAAAAATAGAATCGACAATGGAGGATTTGTAAAAAGAAATAGAAACAACTCAAAACTTACATGAAAATTAAAAGTAGAGTTTATAAAAAGTAGTTCATCTGACTCTTCGAATTGAATGAAAATAAAATTTTCTGTTGATAAACAATGATAATAATTAAATCTAGATATTATCAACACTTTCCTTGTTTATTCAGTTGAATAAATAATTCTTCGTTCAATGCCGAGATCTTTGGTTAACGATTATCCTATTTTGACATTTGTAACGAAATCTAGATAAGCAAAAATATCAGAATATTTATATTTCAATGAAGAAAAAGAAACTTGTCAGTGCAGTTCCATGAGAATCAAAGTGTGGAACTGATAATCCATGTCATAGAGCCTATCGGGTCCGGGTCTGAAAATTTTTACTGAGCGAATCCGAATCAAAAAGAAACTTTTGGTGCATATAATGATATTTTATGAATTTTTTATTGTTTTATTCAAAAGACCTTCATTTATTTGTAGAAAAATATGGGATTTTTTTTTGGCTTATAAAATATGATTGAATTGTCATAATTTTTTATTAAGTGGGCAAGCTTCTTCTTCTTCTTTAGAAAAAAAACTTCATCGTATATTATTTTTTTCATGTATATGATTCAGTACAAAGCAAAATATTATTGATAATGAAATAGTTGTTGAATAGAAGAAATAATATAAAGCCTCGTAATGTATACATTTATTCTGCTATCAGAAACTATTGGATAGAAATAAAAACTAATTGTAACTTAATTATTATAGAATCACGATCGGATTGTTTAAAGAATGTGTAAAATATGCTTACGAATGTCATTTTCCTGTCAATTTAGAATAAATATAAATTACCGATAACTTAATTTACGAAAGAATTAAAGTGAAAGTAAATATAAATTGAGATCTCTACGTATACTAATCATGTAATAGACAAAAAAATGAAAAATATATTGTATCTTCGGAGCGACAATCAAAATCAGATTAGAAAATTTCATTAAGAGAAATAAGAGCATGGTTCAAGTCCGGATCCACCAATAATTAAACAATCAGGTTTGGGTCCGAAAATCTTGATCGACCAGATCCGGGTCCAGAAATTCTTGGATCCGATTGGCTCTACCATGTTATGAAAACCCGCAGTTTACCGCTCCGGCTACCTGCCGTAAACCGTGGTTAATCGATAGTTTTTGCCGATAAATCGCGATTTACCGTTAAAAGTGATCCGATTTTTGTGACATGGAAAACTGTTGTAGCTATAAATTTATAGTGTATTGTTGTAGGGGTTCAAATAGTTTATTTTAAAAAATAGCAGATTAGTGAATCAATCAAAATTATAACCATTTTATTGGATTCATTTAACATCATTATATTGGAAAATTTTTTTTTCTTCTAATAATTTTACATGTCATAGGACGCGGTAACTATTATTTTATTCTTCGTATAATAAGCTTACGAAAATATCATGTTTTCGATCGACGAACCTTGATAAATTCTATCGAGTTTTACCTAAACTTCGAATTCAATTAGTTCATAGTTTTGTATGTTCATTCTATCCTGATGCTGCTAGATCGATAGTAGCACTGTTTTACTGATTAACACCTACAATAAGATTCTATCATTTCATTAAATACTAAAATCCACAACATTTAAACTAATATCGACGCCAAAATATAAGGCAAGTGGTTGTTTTTCGAATAACTCAAAAATCACAAAAGCTATCGACCTGGAGTTTTCAGCAATAGAAAGAGGACACTCTAAATTACATTTTTACTAGCACACTCAATTCTTAAAAATCTTTCGATACCGAAGTTTTGAAAAATATTCTGAAAAACAAGGATTTTACTTAAAAATTTTCGGATAGAAATCTATCATTTTTTTTTCATAGATAGATAGCCTTGGATCTCCTCTACAATTCTATATCAGACAATAGTTAAATAAACATTGTGACAATATTCAACATAGTCGATAACCTATATTTCAAGTATTTGGGAAACTGCTAGCCTTCAGGATCGGTAAGTCCTAGTGGTTCGCACAAATCGCCTGCAGCTGACAGGATAAGGAAAGAATCATCTATTATCTAATATAGAATTGTAGAGGAGATCCAGATCTATCTATCCATGAAAAAAAAGGATAAGTTTCTATCTGAAACTTTTAAGCAAAATTCTTGTTTTCCAAAAAATTCTTCAAGACTTCGGTATTAAAAGGTTTTTAGGAATTGAGTTTGTTAGGAAAAATTGTAGCCCAGTGTGTTCTGTTTCTATTGTTAAAACTATAGGTCGATAGCTTTTTTGGTTTTTGAATCATTCGAAAAACAACCACTTGCCTTATATTTTGGCGTCGATATTAGTTTGAATCTACGGTAGAAATCTTAAACCTAATACGATGCCTTTTGGAAGATTCTGGAAAGTTTCAGAATAATCTAAGTGTTGTTCTTATTGACACGCCATTTCCTGTTGCTAAGAAAACGTAGCCAATGATCGTTGACTTTCTTCCTTTCATCTTCGGTTGCTAGGGCTTAAAGGGAGAAGCCACAAAAGCCTTGATTTAAACTAATATTCAGCATTTCCTTCAAAAATATATGTGAATTCCAGAAAATAGTTTGCAATTGAATAGATTTTATTCAGAAGATAAGTTTAACTTTGAGTTTAAACATTGAGAAAAAAGTTTCATATCTCTAACAAACATTTTATTTAATTTAACTATTACGATAGAAAAATTTTAAAAATTAATTGATTAGATGTTAAATCATTTCATAATAGGTTTTTTTTTAATGTCGTATATAAACAAATAATAAACAGTTCATTAAACGAATAATATTATTACGCATGGTAATTATCTACATATGGTGTTTCATTATTATCGAATTGTTGTTGTGATGTATGAGAAGGATGTTTAGATTCAATTCTATATCCTAATTCTTCTATATCTTTAGTAACAACATTAAAAACAACTTGAATATAACCATGAGATCGAACTCGTGTCACTAAAATAAAAATATTCTCTAGTTAAAAAAAAAGGAAACTCAATTAATTTTTACTTTCTCTTCCAGCATTAAATGCAATAACTTTTGGATCAATAAATTCTGGTCGACGACCAAAAAACCAAGCTAAAAGTTGTTGAAATTTAGATGATGAACGTGGAACAAAAAGTGGAATTCGAATACGATGTCTTCAATAAAATAAAATAAAATAAAATAAACAAAATAAATAAATAAATAAATAAAATTTACCGTCCTGGACTAATTGGTATATGAGTTGTTCCATAACCTCGAACAATATCATTTCCAAAAACATCTAAACCATAACCACTTATAACTAATTGTGGCCCTAAAATAATCAAATCGAAAAAAATTGCTTTGTTTTTTCTTGTAAACACAAACATCCAAAAGGATTTGTTGATCGAAATGTCGCTTCCAATGGAAAATTAAAAACTATTTTTGATCCAATTTGAACACTTTTATGTGCTATTTGTGTTGTTCCTTCTTCAAGACCCTTAAAATTAAATTGATTTTTTTAATTTATTAATAAAATATTAATAAAATAACATACAGAACATATTTTCCAATCTTTTCCAATAACATAAGAAAAACGAAGATAAAGATCATCGAAATCATTTACCTTTTAAATTTAAAAAGAAAACAAGCCAACAATTAAAATACAAAATCTTAATACAAACTTCAGCATGTTCAATAGCTCCATTTATAAAGACAAGAAAACTTGTTGGTTTTGTATTCATTTTGTTCCTTTAAGATGAACAATAAATGTATCAATGAATTACTCATGATGGTGGAGCATTGTTATGAAACAACCTCTATCAAATAGAATGATAGATTTTCATCGATTCTATCGATTATTTGCGACATCTTTTCCATAATTTTTGTTTTTTCACGTTTTTTAAATTTATATTAATTAATCTACTAGTTTCATTTATAATCGATTGATTGTTATAAATTATAGTTACTATATATAAGAATATATTTTATTTTTTTTTTTTTTAATCAAATAAAAATGAACATTAAAAAAAAAATTGATTGAAAAAAAATAAAGATTTGTGTTGCAAACGTAAATATTGAGGAACGAAAAAAAAAAGAATAACGAAGAAATAAAACATTACTTTAAAGACACTATGTTGAAGAAAAATAAAAAAAAATACAATAAATTCACTGAAGAAGAATTTTCGTGTCTAGTACATTTTTTTTTCTTTTCGTTCCCAAGCATTAAAACCGATCATGAAAATAATTTTTCTAAAACTGTAAAAGAAAAAATAAACAATCAAATATGTCAAATGGATCAATGGTCACCGTTGGAAATGGACAAACATTGTCCGATTTATTTCATAAATTTATTCGAATGACTGTTAAAACAGATGATCGAGATGGACGATTTAAAAAAAATCATTCAATTTCAAAAACTCATCAAAAATCAATTTATAATTCACCTAATTCACAACGTAGTCGACGTTTAGTTGTTCAAGCAACATCTCGAGTACCACCACCTCAACATAAACGTACATCCGCAATTGCTTATTATAATGTTTCCCCAATTACAATTGAAAATAATAGTAATATTCATACTGATGATGAAGAACAAGATAGTTATTATTCATATCATGTAAGTTTTATCGAATTATTATTATTTTTTTTTTTTTTTTTTTGATTCTACTTTGATTATATCATAATTTATAACGTCATTAAAATTCAGTTGAAAAGAAAAAGAAGAATAAGATTTTATCGAAAGAAAAACAAATAACGCCTAAAGATGTTAGATATATTTTTATTAGACATTAAAATAGACGAAAAAAAAAAAAGAGTTTCTTGTTAAGTGAATGAACAGAATCAAAGGAAAAAAGAGTTTTTGACTCGAGGCTAATGCTAAAATATTGTGCCGATGATTGACCTTGGAAAATTTAGAAAGAAATAAGTTTTCCTATTTTCTTTTCTTCTTTTTTTTTTTTTTTTTTTATTTTTTAACAATTCTTACCTGATTAGTTTTTTCAAGCAAGCACTATTACAAAAGAATGTTCATCCTATGAATTTTATTTAATAATTATGGACATTTTTCTACGCAACTCTATCAAATATATAAGAAAAAGAAAAAAACGTAAAAATGAAAGTGAGAACATGTTTGATGTCTGGAATATTTTTTTTTTTTTTAAATGTTTGGTGTGTATGTGTATATATATATGTATATATCTAATCCCATTAAAATGGTATCGACAAAGAGAAAAAAAAGTGAGAAGAAAGTAATAGTGTCCTTGTTTACATGTGTGATCGACAGTGATCGAATCACAAATAACAGAAGACAGCAACGAAACATTTCTCTATAGAATAGAATAATGTTACTTACAAAAATGCGAGATAGTAAAGGCCCGTCAACTGCTAAGGTCTCATTTTAATTTTACTCGATTTTAATTTTATTCTTTTTTATTCTAATTATTATTTAGTCGACTAATGCAACTAATACTGGTTATGGATCACATCATCAAAATACAGCTGGTATCGATCTTCGAGATATGGATGCATCATTTGGTGATATTGGATTAAGTATTACATCAAAGCCATTAGCAAAAGTACAGGTTGGTGTTGATTTTTATTTTTTATTTTTTTAGAAAAATTTTAATATAATAAATCTTTTTTGCTTTGTTTTTTTCTTAAAGAAATTATCTGTTCAAACAGTTCTTAATGGATCATTTCCACGAGTCAGTGATAAACAACAATCAACATCACTTGTAACAGGTATTACACGAAGTGGAAAATCATTTAATATATTAAATCAAACACCAAATCATGATTCTTCATTACCATTTTTAAATAATTCAGTTGGATCACCAGGAGCATCAGCGCGACTACATCATACAACTGTTCATCATCATTCACATCATCAGCATCATGGAGCTGCAGCAGCAACAGCACGAAGTTTACGAAGAGAAAGAACTCGAGAAGGAAGTCTTAAATCATCATCCAAAGATACAGACATAACAAGTAGTCATCATTTATTTCAACAACAACATCATCATCATTCTCATAATACAAGTGGTTCTTCTATTGTTTCAAGTTCTCATCAATTTTCTCGTTCAAAAAGTTTTTTTACTAATACATCATCGGATAGTATTAATAAACCTCCAAGTTTTCCAATGAAACCATCTGGTAAGTTTATTTTTATTACAAAAAAAGATTCATATATTATTTTTTTTTCTTTTTTTGTATTACAGAAGCTTTAACATATTATGGTGATAAATTAACTGAATTTGAAAAAACTGAAATATTTGATTATAATGAAATTTATTTTCTTGGTTTGGAAGCTGAAAAAATATCAGCAACAAGTATTAAAGATTATGATGATGAAAATGGTTCTTATATGAAAATGAGTAAAGATCATATTTGTTATCGATTTGAAATCTTAGAAACATTGGGTAAAGGTTCATTTGGTCTTGTACTTCGTTGTTATGATCATAAAAAAAAAGAAGCTGTTGCTTTAAAAATAATTCGAAATAAAAAACGTTTTCAACAACAAGGTCTTGTTGAAGTTAATATATTAACACATTTAAAAACATTAGATTCGGATAATTCATTAAATGTTGTTCATATAAAAGAACATTTTTATTTTCGATCTCATCTTTGTATTACATTTGAATTACTTGGGTAAGAATTTTTCTTTAAATTAGAATAGAATTTTTTGAAAAAAAGTTTTTTTTTTTTTTATTTAGAATTAATTTATATGAATTAATTAAAAAAAATAATTATCAAGGTTTTAGTGTGCATTTAGTCAGACGTTTTGCTAATTCACTTTTACAATGTCTTCGTGTTATGTATAGAGAAAAAATAATTCATTGTGATCTTAAACCAGTAAGAATCTTTTGTTTTGTTTTTTTTTTATTAGATTTATATGAAAATAAAATATTTATTTTTTTCAGGAAAATATTTTATTAAGACAAAAAGGAAGTAGTAGTATTAAAGTGATTGATTTTGGATCTGGTTGTTTTGAATCACAACGAAGTTTGTTTTGCTGTTTTTCTTTTCTTTTATGTTTGAATTTAATCGAATGTTTAAACAATTTTTTGTTTTTGTAGTTTATACATATATTCAATCACGATTTTATCGAGCACCGGAAATTATCTTAGGTATACCATATACACCAGCGATTGATATGTGGAGTTTTGGTTGTATTCTCGTCGAACTTTTTACTGGTATGTTATTATTCTTATAGAAAGAAATTACGGTTTATTCGATCGAGATGACATATCTTGATACTGGATATTTGTGAATAATCTAAGACGAAAAAGAATCTGATTTTTCTATCTTGAGCATTGGAATATCGAATTTAATTTTCTATATGAAGACATTCCTGATATCCGGGTGAATGATATAGGATTAGTGCCGGCGGGAAAGTTTCGAAAAAATTAGCCGAAAATTGGAAGTAGGAATTCGATATCTCGATTGAACAGCCAAATTTTTCAGATTCCGACCATAGACCGGGAAGGACCGGCCACAGTGGCCAGAGAACGACTTCTTACTCAAAGATTCCACTCGAAAATCGACGGCGCCGAATGCTGAAATCATTAACCTCAGTGATGAGCTTCTGTTTTGGTTTTTTTTCGTGCATTGAATATTAACAAATGAGATAATTCCTCATCGATATAGACACTAGAAACAGTTGATCCCATTCATTTTCTAATTCTTATAGTTTTCAGACATTTTCTTCCGTGCGCTACCTAAAAATGCATAAACCATCTTTGTTCATAAGAGTTCATGGGTCTGAAAATTTTGGACCCGATGAACTCTACTCTTAAATTGTTTCTGAGTAAGACATCATATTAAGTCTTGATGTTAATAACATATCAAAATTGTGTCATGCAACTAGAAAAGTGTCGACAAAGAGAAACAAAGAAGCCCAGATTTAGAACATTCATATGTACAAATAAAATTATGAAATGGTGAAAACTATTTTGAGAGTTTCATGGTTTAAAACTTCACTTTTCTGAAACGCGACTGTAAGTTTCAGAGTCATATTTGACCCCAGATGATCAGGATGTATGCAGGTTTGTAGGGAAACACATCCTCTATATAATGGTGGATGTATTATCAAGCTCTGTTGCGTAGCAAAATTTTCAATAGATGGCGTCACATTCGCTGTATATTCTATAGTATGCACAACGAATGTGACGCCATCTATTGGAAATTTTACTACGCAACAGAGCTTGATAATACATACGCCATTATATAGAGAAAGTCTTCCATTACAAATCAGCATACATCCCGATTCGGGATCAAATCTTTGTAGTCGCCGTTCAATAATGATTTGAATTCTTTAGAAAAGATACATTATCTCCTGTAGAAATCATGTACTATTCCTGTTAGCTTCATATTCCATTTACTATATATATATATATATATATATATATGTATTGAGTAGATCATATCGGGAATGGTTTCTAGTTGAAAACAAAAACAACTACCTGTAGTTATGGGAAGCCAGAATTTCGTTTCAAAAATCCGATAACTTTTTTGGCCTGGACCAAAAGTCATCAAGGGCTAAGTTTATTTAATAAATTCTGATAAAAAACCTTACTCCTATGAATAGTTGATACACCCCATAGCAAAGATGTCCATGGCGGCGCGGCAGCGACAGATTTTCAGCCGTGATGGACATTTCTGCTCCATAGTGCTCAGCAGAACACATTCAGATTAAATCATAGTTCTAAAATTCTGTTAACAAGATGGTGTAGCTTTCAACCAAAGGGCATAATGATAAGCAGTATGAATTGATACCACACAATAGATATATCATACATGTTAATACTATGTCGTTCTGCTGAGCACTATGGAATCTACTAAATATTTATAGAAATCAGATTTTTTTCATAACGATTAATAAGGTAAACTTAGGTCCGAAATTTCTGTAACTTATGTTTATGCATAGAGAAGTTTCAGACAAATGAGAATAAAATGAGGCATGTTTTTGTTTTTTTATTTGAATCGATTTCATTAATATTTGTATGTAAAATAGGTTATCCAATATTTCCTGGTGAAAATGAACAAGAACAATTGGCAATGATAATGGAAGTGATTGATTTACCACCAAATCATGTTCTTGAACAAGGAACTCGAAGAAAATTATTTTTTGGTTTGTTTATTCTTTCTTTTTGTTTTTCATTTTCTTCTAAAAGATTTTTATTTCTTGAATAATTTAAATTTAGATTCAAAAGGAATTCCTCGAACAGTTTCAACAAAATCATTAAAAAAACGTCGTCCAGCTAGCCGTCCATTAGCACAAATTCTTCGAACAACTGATAATAATTTTATTGATTTTATTCGTCGATGCTTTGAGTTTGTTTTAAATAATAAAAAAAAACAAAAAAAGAAAAATTTTCTTTATTTTGTTAAATCTAATTTCAATTTAGATGGGATCCTGTCGAACGTTTAACACCCGAAGAAGGTTTACGTCATCCATGGATTGTTGAAACAAAATTAAAACGATCATCACATGAATCACGAACACGATATAAAACAAAAAAAGATGATAATAATAATAATACAACTAATAATAATACATCAATAATTAATGGTGATTCATGTAAGATGATTTTTTGTTTGTTGTTTCTTCTTTAAAAATTTTAATTTATTATCTTTGTTTAAAATAGATTTTAGTTTAAATGAAACAACTGGTCATGAAGATAGTGCTGCAATTGAAGACGATAAACAAATAAGAAATGGTGGTTCATCAACAATGTTTCCTCGAATTTCTAATCAATAATTAATCGGTGACTTAATTTCGACTCAACAAAAAAAAAA